AGAAAGAGTGCATATGAAATTCTAATCACGAAAGGTGTTCCCCGAGGGGATACATACCTAGAGTTTGTTTTGTGAAGCACGTCAATTCTCTCCTGGGGAGCGTCTTCGTGAGCCTCTTATGGTTTCAGGATAGTTCAAATCCTATGATGCTCCGATTCAATGCTCACCGATGATCTGAGCCATGGGGCAAGTTTGTTTTTCTCAGAATCTTTTTTGAACATTTCGAGAGCATATGTTTGAACATTTAGAGTTATGAACATATATTTACGACAGGTAGCCTCCGAGGGGATAAATCACCATGTCGAACATTGCATTTTTGTTCCTGCCTCTCGCGTTCTCTTCTCTTCCCGCTGTCCTACCTTTCGTGTCTCCCTCCTCTCAAGTATCTCATACGTGGAGTGTTTTGGTGTTGTTTTTTCCTTGACAAGTCCGCTTGACATCATGAGGGCTCAGAACACAGGAAAAACCAGCGACAGTGGTAGCTGAACCATAGAGGAAATACAGAATGGAACTTGGAAAGCATTTGACATCATGGAGCCATTCTGGGCGGTGGTTTCAGATATTTATTGGTGATGAGGAAGAATGGCTTTACTTGGGGATGCTATTATTAGGGAGGTGGTGGTGTTTGGATGAGGAGGAACCCACTGACTCATATTGTTTCAAGTGAGTTGAAACCATCAACCTTGGTGTAGAAAGTGTGATGGATGTGTCGTTTTTTTGTGGAGGGTGCCGGGGGGGCCTCCACCCCCCGGCAGGGTCGGGTTCCTCACTTCCTGGTCACGCAAACTTTCATGATCTAGAGATTGAATCCTGGGTGAAGGCGTTTGACACGCACAGACTGTCAGTTCTCACTTGCCTGCGAAACTGTGGAGTCTGAGAATGTGACGCTGTACTGAATAGTCCTCGAAAGGTAGGAAATCTACACAACCACTCATCAGACCATGGCCAGAATTCTTTGTACATCACTGAATTGTATGTACTTATTCTATCATCACCCATGTTCGCACCCTTTCCACCCCATCACCCCCCAAAAACACCCCACCTCTCCCACCTCCCAGCTCTTCGTCCTCTCCCCATTGCTGCAGGCTCGTGACTGGGAGCGTCAGCACGGGAAGAGCTGTTCCACCTCCAAGGGTGTCGGGAAGATAGGCGCCCCACGCGTGGAACCACGTCCGCTGGCGGAGACGTATCGCGAGAGAAGGCTCTCGGGAGCTCGGAGAATTGGTCGGGAGCTTTGAGCTTCAGCATGAAGGATGTTCATGTTGTTGCTATGATATCGGTGGAAGAAGGGGCGGAAGGGGGCAGTTGGAGGTGTTGTGTTTCATGCATTTCTGTGCTTTTTTGGAAGGCAATGGCCCATGGCCAAACGGTTGGATGGTTTAAAGTTTGTAAAGCAGTTTGAGAGCTGAAAGCAACCCACTGAACCATGGTTCTCTTTGGAATACTTGACAACATGAATCAGAACGATCACTACTGATTTCACCTTTCTTTCCAACCCTATGAGCTGTCCAGAAGTTCATCTCAGCCAAACCGGGCCTCCCTTCTGCGTGGCCATAACGGTTGTCTTCCGATCTCCACCGCCGATCTCCACCTCTTCGTCGGCCCACACGACCTGCTTGCCATTTCGACCGTTGCAGGCTCCACGGGGAATCGGCTCCACACGGAGCTGCTCTTCCGTGACTTCCTCCGCTCCTGGGACGAGACGAGACGCTCCGCTCCGCGAGGTCCTGGAGCGACGCGGGAGAGCGACTTGGGGTCATGGAGATGGGTGGGGCAGGATGTGGGCTGATGCTTCCAAGGTGTTTCAAGGAGAGAGGGAGGTGGGGAGAGAAAAATCCATCCAAAACCACCAAGTTCGCTCGTCAAGGGTGATAGTGATGTGGCATAAAATCTGCGATCATCGAATGCATGTTGACGTGGCATGGTCGGTCGTTTTTTACCTCCAGTGGTTCAGTGGTTCTCGCTAAACTGCTGGAGGCGTGAAACTGTGTGGCTTGCCCACTGAAGAATAGAACGACCAAAGAGTTTGTGGTCTTAAACCACTTCCATTTCGATGTGAGCTTCCGAAGTGGAATCCGCCTCCCCAAGAACATTGAGAAGTCCAAGAAGAGTGACCTTTCCCACCAGTGGTCGTGGTGAAGGGACTGCAGTGGTCGTGGTGGGAGTTCTGACGTCGACCTCATCCGACACACCCGGCCATTCTCAACGGGTTCCTTAGATCTTACTACCAGCAGTTCCATGTCGTGGTGCGGACTCGGAGGTAGTCGGGGTGCCCCTGTCACATCCACTCACTGAATGGAACTCAACACCTGGTCCAGCTGGTGGTATAGCTCTCTTCAGTCATGTGGAAGAAATCCCCCAGCCGCCCCAGGCTTTTCAGCCCTGGCCTGGGGCACCTCTCTCTTCAAGATCGGAGGCGACATGCTTGGTGGATCAATGTGGATCGTGCGGAACGGAACGGTTTGGAGCTTCTTGAGGGAATCCATCCCCTGATATCAAAAACACCTGGTGTTCCCTGCAAAAACCATCAAAAACCGGGTTTTCCCTAGCAAAAAGCATGGTGTTCTCCCTACCCTGTTTGTGGTTGACCTCAGGTCTGTCCCACTACCCGTAACAGTCAAAAGAGGATCATGTCCTGCTAGTGGGGTAAATATCAGGTGCACCATGTTGACCCTTTCATTGGGGCTTGGCCAAGAATAACAGAAGAGAGACTCCAACTACAAAGGCTTCACCTATACCAGGACCCCCAAGGAAGGGGTGGTTCATGGACACCCCGAATCACAGCTCAGGGGCTATAAATAGACACCCCACGGTGTCGGGTCCTGGTATGTTCACCTTAATCCTTGTCTATAGTGTTTCACCTGGAATTGTGCCGAAGGTCATAAGCCAGAATGGTCCCCCAAACACGACGCACAAAAGAAGCGACACAAGGGGGGGAGTGTAGTAAGTTCATGAGTGACGGAATCTGAAGCCCTAGGGCTCCAAGTCGTACCTCCTTACAAGGTATTTTGGACCCTCTAAACCGACCCCCAACACCTTCTAAGAAGGTCCGACTGGAGCCCTATAGGGTGGAGCAAGACTGCTGTGGGAACTGGTCCTCCAAGCGCATTCATCCTGGTTCGATGATCAGAGAGAACAGGCCCACGGGGGCCCATATGGGTGCCACAGATGAACCAGAGATGGCGACGCACACGATGAACGCATGAAGGAAGTGCGGCATCTTTTTTCGGGATGGAAGAACAGTTGTTTCCACCTATGCTTCACCTCCTAACTCAGTGCTTCATCCTCTCAGTTTGCTCTCCAAGTCCACCTCTCTCCCCAACCAACCAACCAACCAACCAACCACCCAACCAACCAACCAACCAACCAACGCAGAACGACTTCCCGCGTCTCCACTCCTTTGACTTGCCGCAGCCAGGGCCCTTTGGTGTCACGGGGATCCCGTGGCGCAAAGACCTGGAGCTCTTCGAGAAGTGGCGCTTGGGCCAGACCGGCATCTCGGTGGTCGCGGACGCGCGGGGAGCTCTGGTAGTGGTAGCTCTGGTAGTGGTAGCTGTGGGGCAAACAACTGCGGTTTTCTGGGTTTTTCTGGGTGAGCTGGATGCTTGTGAGCTGGATGCTTGGATGAGTGTTGTTTGTGCTTCTCCCTTTTGAAGCTTCTGTGCAGACCTCTACAACAGTGACGAGCTCACAAAGTTTGATGTGTGAAACATTGCATGTTGGATTGTTCACAGTGTTCAACGCGCACAGCAGTCCTTGAGTACAATCCACTGAAACAATAGTAGGTCTCTGCCTTGCTCACATGAAAGTGGAACAAAAAGAACACCCATGCGACCCATGCGACTGAGCTGGTCCAAACGTTTGCTACGTCCAAAAACGCACCGCCAAAAGCGCTCCAACTGGAGCACGGCATCGACCGCAGATAGCGGGTATGGGGAAACAGCTTATAGCCTCAGGGAAACAATACGTTGCCATGCACAAGACGCATGTCATCCACGAAAAGAAACGATGCATACTGCATACCACAAGGCAATACATGCCTCAATGTCAGACACAATATGAGAGGATATCACCCCTGCCATGACATCAGCAGCACCCACACCAGCACGCCTACACCAGCACGCCCCAAGCACCCGCACCTGCACCAGCACGCCCAAACAAAACCATTGAGAAGTAACAACTCCTTCGGTCACGCTTTTTGAATATATGGTGGTCTGCCCTTGGCCAGAGCAATCGCCCCCGGAGGTAGTCTAAAGTACCTGTTCCCACCGTGTATTTAAAGGGTCTGGCCGGGCCCCGTATATTTAGAATGTAGATGGATCCCTGTTGACATGTCTTCTACAAAAAGGGAGAGCTTGAGGCCCTTACAGAGGGGCCATGTTTTGGGCACCTACAGAACCCGATTTTTGTAGAGAAATAAGTTTGCTTTCTGCCCAGCAACTAGGTCGATCTAACTTTTCCAACCCTCTCACAGGAAGTAGAATTCATCAAGGACTCTTAGTACTTTCAGGGCTGCAGGCTGTATGGGGAGGTGCAACACCACCAAATCAAAACCACCAGCTTCACCACCAAGACCACCAAGATCGCCTAGACCGCCGGACCCAAGACCACCGGGACCCCCAAGACCACCAAGAGCACCACCAACACCGCCCAGACCGCCACAATCACCACCAAGACCACCGGGACCACCAAGACCACAGACACACCAAGACTGGACCACCAAGGCCACCAGGACCACCAAAACCACCAAGAGCCACCAACACCGCCTAGACCACCACAATCACCACCAAGACTGCTAGACCACCAGGACCACCAAGGCCACCGGGACACCCAAGAGCACCACCAACACCGCCTTGACCGCCACAATCACCACCAAGACCACCACCACCAAGGCCACCGGGACCACCAAGACTACCAAGACCACCTAGACCCCGAAAACCACCAAGACCGGACCACCAAGACCACCAAGGCCACCGGCACCCCCAAGACCACCAAGAGCAGACCGCCACAATCACCACCAAGACCACCGACACCACCTAGACCACGGAGACCACCAAGACCACTAAGGCCACCGAGACCTCCAAGATCACCAAGAGCACCTCCAACACCCCCACATTAACATAATAGATAATAGTGTCTTGGAGGCCGCAAATATGTAATTCAGCTGACTGTATATTTAATTCGTATATTCAATCCGTTTGTGTAAAAAACAGCCAGGCTGGCAAAACCTTGCCGGAGGTAGTCTCAAATACCTGTTCACTTGAAATCGTAAATTTAAAAGCGATGGCGATACCGTATAGCTTGCAGCTATCACGGGAATAAATGTCCAGTGCTTGGCACGCCTGGCATTTTTGAATGTGCTGACATGCTAAATTGCACAGATCCAGGGTGGTTCGTGTGCAAAAAGAATTATAAGTTGAGGAGATGTCTATCAATGGGTTTTCATACTAAAAGCAAAGTTTCCTTCATCCAATGCTGTTTGTTTAGACATACTATTAACCAAGAGGCCCCAGGCCCCCAAAATACTAGGCGCCCGCTTCCTTCCGCTGATATGATGGCAGTATCGAGATATGGTGTTTGTGGAGAAATGAAGAAACAACCAACACCTTTACACTGTGACAATGTGCTGGAAAAAAAGGAGAACAGAGAACAATGAGCAATGAATGGACATAAGAGAATCTAATTAGGAGTAGGATGGAAGGATGATGTGATTGATCTGTTTCTTAGAACAACCAATGCCATCTCCGCATACCGATGGCAAATGGCTGCCATGGTCACACCATGATGTGGAGGGCGCGTTTGCAAATGTCAGGGATCAGGCATCGGAAGCTCACAATTTGCTTCTGAAAGCCTCTAGGGCAGTGCTTCAGTATGGCTCGCAGGCAGAGGCAAGTGGGCCTGGGACAGTGTTTTTTTGTGGTATAGGGTCAGAGTGAGACTCTGCAAGGGTAGGACTTTTGGCCATATGCTAAGGCTGCTGCATGTGCAAGTTTGGGATGTCTGTGTCTCTGTGTTGTTTTTTCCTTCATTTGCTGGTCACTGGTCAAGGTGGCTTCCTTCCGTGATGCAGTGATGCTTATCATCAAGCTGCAACACTTCAATCCGTCAAGGCCAAACAGTGATGCTCTTCGACCCCAAGCCAGAAGCAAAGGTGTTGCTGGCAGAAGTGCTTACAGCATGCAACAGCTTTACCATATGCTATCAATGCACCATGGTTTGCACTTATCAATCCCAGGTGAGGTCCCAGTCCCAGGGGCATGGATAGTGGGCACGTCATTACTGTAATGTCATGTCATGAGTCATGTGAGTCATGTGTCGTTCAAAAGAAACAATCCACGCCAATGTAGACCCAGACCAGGCCCAAAGCAGACACCTACTGTATCACCTGTCCAACACTTTTGTCTGAGGAGCATGCAGTTGCGGAGCGCATCCCGCTTCAAGTATACATTGGTGACAGCTATGCAATTGGCAACAGGAAGGCTAGAGATCAAAGAGGAGGCACGCTGAAACGACTTGTGAGCAATCACACCAATCAAAGCAGTGAGGCAATTTGTTTGTGTTTTTGTTTGTGTGGTGTTACATGCAGCTGACACTCCTTGGCAAGAAATGACAGTAGCCGCAGCCGGCTTGTGTTTTATTCAGCATCCAACCTATCTGACCCTGACCACTGACCAGTTTCCTGACCACTGACCAGTTCGACTCTTTTGCAGGTTCACGACTCTGAAGGTCCGAGCACCTCTACACTTTCCCGCGCTCGCTACAAGCTGGACACACTTGCAATGTATTTGAGGCGTTGGCAGTGGTCTGAAACTGGATTCAATCCCTACTTCATTTGCCTTTGTGCAGGGCCCAGTCATTTCAGTCATGAGGGACATGAAGGGCAATCATCAAGGGAATAAAAACAAAAATGTCAGTCAATGTCAATGTCAGTAGTATCTTTAGCCAAAAATGGTAGACAAACAGACTGACAATTAGTCATAGGAACATGGAAGCTGTGGGCAGTTGGTGGCAATTCGTGACAGTTCACTTGAGGCTATGATGCCACCAAGCAGGGACGTGAACTCTTCATTGTTGAGGAGTACACAACAAGGCTGGAAGTATAGAGTGCACTTCAACCGCCCAGCTATGTCTCCAGTTACTCAAGCTTCTCTGATATCTCCCCTGCTCACTGATGACCATGCGCATGCGCTGCGCAATAAGAGTTTTAAATAGTTTAAATAGTCTCGCGTGATCAAGACCCAGGGCCCAATAGTCCTACCTGGCCTTACTACGATTTCCTTTGCGAAGGTGTGTCGACGCCATTGACGACTTTAAAGCAGTGACTGCGGAGCAAGAGTTCCAAACAGAAAGCCGAGACACAATGGTTTCGATGCCTACATGCAAGATCCAAACACAGTGCAGGCTATTGCCACTTATCAGCATGGGGAAAGGCGCCTCCTTTGCATTACTGAGAAAAGATAACAATTGTCAGCATGGAGAAGACATTGGTGTCCAATGTCAAATGTGCAACATAACAAGTCTTCCTGGCTCCCTATAACGAAACACATAACTGCTGGGACCGGGACCCCGAACGCCCTCCTGAGTTGCCCCAGCGGATGCTGCAGCTCAGCTGCCAGCTGCGCCAGATTTTGTTCATTCGCCGCCGAGTCGCCGATTCGCTGTTGTCGTTCATGGTTCAATCAGCGGCTATCAACAGCTGATTCATCCATTCAGTCACTGCTCTACTTTTCTGCTAGGCTAGGTCTGCCACAATCTGACATTGACCATCGACCCTACCTGTTTCCGGGTCAGGCTTCAACTCAAGTAGTTGTTGTGGAAGATGAACATGGGTGTAAGTGGGTGTCGCCGGTGTCATAAAAAATCAGGGATTGATTGATTGACTCTGTTTGTGTAGTTATACTCGACCTTTGCCTCTACCCTTGGAGTCCTGGAATCCTGGAGTCCTGGTCCTGGTCCCAGCACGGGTACCAAAAAAGGATTCAACCAACCAGCCGCCCGCCGCGCGCCAGCCCCTGGCAATCTAGTTTAATAATTACAATTGTTATGTGTACAATGCCATTTGCCATGATTGAATTTTCTGTGGGCCTGGGGCATGTAACAAACCCTGGCAGCACCATCATGGAATCATGGGGTCTTCCAAATTCTTCAGCCCGGGCCCCAGCCCAGCAACCCTGTTCCTCCTTCCATTCCACCACCACCACAACAACAACTACTACTACTGCTGCTACTACTACTACGCCTGCTACTACTACTCCTGCTACTACTACTACTACCACCACTACCACTACCACTACCACTACCACTACCACTAC